TGCAAACACAAACATTTACTTTACTCTACTGATGTCCTTTTAAATTATTACAGTCTATTATAACTATACCTCTTTCTTCTTCTTTCCTCTAAAAATAAACCTTTTGTATTTCTGCAGCAGTAGAGAAGTGATAAGAATACTTATAAATACTGTGATCCATATAGCACTGATAATGAAAAACAATAATGAAATATGTCCTGCATAGGAGACTAAAGTGATGTTAATATCATAGGATGCTGGTATAATAGTGCTTACTGCATGAACAGTTATCCCAAGCGAGAATATAGAAACCAGATGATGTTGAACAGTTTCTACAGCAATTACTGGACTCACAAACACTACAGTGACTAGTACATACTGTCAGAAGGAAATGGGAGATAAACATAATTATTTGATTGGCAGAATGCTTTTGTTAGTTTTGAGTATTATCAAGAGTACATAAATTATGTACTCTTGGTATTATTTTAGGATCATTTTAAGCTTTAGTTTACCATTTTATTTTTGCCAATTAAAAACATAATAGCTACTACCAAGAGTGGATAATAACCATGAAACTTCTACGCGCACATATCACTAGCAGCATAGGGCAGTTAGACACTCTCCCCTCCTCCTTATCCACTCTTGCTACTACTTAATATTACCTGCTTTTGTTATGTGCATAATAGCAAATCCTATTGCATAAACTCTTTAGTTTGTACAGTAGAAATCCATAATTATGCACATCATAACAAGGTTAATAGCTGCTAGTAGCTACTGCACTGCATAAATGTTACACAGATAATTTTAGTATTTTATTGATAATTAGTATTATAATGGTGTCATAGCTAAAGCCTAAAGCAAACATGCAAGCTGCTTATTCAAGTGGGTGGAGATGTTTACGTGTACAGTTCCATCTTATTATACCTGGAAACAATGTTATTACAGTGATTACTATCACACTCACATAGCAAAGACAATTAGAGTTAGCCTGATGCTGTATTAATTAGTTACTGTATTAGTTACCGTAATTATTATGATATTACCTTGACAAACATTCATCAAGTCAGCGTTACATCGAAGGCAATCTCTTTTTGTAGCTGATAACAATTCAGTGCTGTACATCAATGATGTTGATGATTGCGCCTCTTCATCATGGCTCCATGAGTCCTCAAAACACTGCATGGCAAAATGAATTGTCATTACAGCAGTATTCCCATAAGCAGTGTAATTAGCTAATAACGAGACTGATCTGTAAGTCCCTTGAACTTTTCCTGAAGCTTGGCATGTGAAGTGAAAATCTAGCAGATTAATATAGTAAATGCCACTAGTAGAAGACAAAAGTTGACTGAGTTCATCACTTATTATATCCCGGTTAGGTAGAGCTATGGCACATTCTTGAGCTGATACTCTTTGCACCAACACCAAAGACAGAAGAAAAATTCCAAGACCAAACATCATCAGGTAGTCAGGAATTATACAGCAGCGGAGCGGAGCGTGTACTAAGACACGCCCACATACAGAATAAAATTAATCGATAATAATTAGTACGAAGTAAACATCACAACACTAAACACAATGATTAAGTCTATCCAGTACAATCAAATTACATTATTGATCTGTTTTTTACAGCACTTCTTTTTCTTTTTTAGATCCAGGAGCTATAAAATTTATAAAATAATTATGACAACTATTAATAAAAAAATTAACATACCACACAATTCATTTCCTTTTCCAATGTAAAGAACAATAAGTAAAACTGCCAAGGCAATAACAATAACAAGAACAATAGGAATTATTACAGTGATTGAAATTGCCCAGCTTGGAAATTGAGAATTTTCCTGAAAATTTCTTCCAACTAAAAATTTTATGTAAATTCTCACACAGGATGTATTAATTTGCTTACCACATAAGCAGTTATCATTCAAAGAGTAACCAGCTGAACAGATTCTACAGCATCCCTCTCTAACAGCATCACAGTTCTCACATCCACTTAATGTACATTGTGTTGGAGAGGGAGAGGGTG